AAATTGAATACTGACGTTGATTTCAAGATTTCAACAGCTTTATATTAAAGTTCAAGCTAATAGAAGAACAGTGCAGCAATTGAGTCCATCGCTACAAAAATTGCATTTATGAAATTTATGAAGTTTTTAATTGATTGATAAAATGCATTTAGTGCTTTAAAACATCTAAATCGAGTCTAAACCAGTGAGCGGAGCAGTATTGTCGGACGGGGCAGACCATACGATACCCTACACAACTACCACGGAACTCAAACCTTCTGCAGATTTTTATTCGGAGCCTGGGAAATATTTCGTGATATTCGCACCCTCTTGCCTGGTTAGAGGTCAATAGCACCTCTTCCTTACACTGACATATTTTCCGAATATTACTAATATTCAGTACAGCCCTTCCATTTACTTGTCCAGATTCCCTTCACGGGGAGTTGTGTTGTTATGTTCGGCTTATAATTGTGGTCTATATATCGAATCGGAAAAACACAAAAAATTAAGTTTTCGGCCCACTTCATCCAAAAATTATAATCTGATCATCACCGTCCTTGTCCTTGACCATAACTGAAACCTCATGGACAATTTCAAAACGATCAAAGTTATATTTTCTCCATCTAGTGTGGTAATGGGTTGCTAACTAATATCTGAGTACGTAAGCACCTGTAAATATTTATGTGTAACTCACACATCCGAGTACATACGACAATATAATTAGTATCAGTTTAAAGGTCAACCACTCCTCTTGGATATTATGCCAACTTCTCGGGTCTATCTCCTTCAGGAGTAAATGTATACGCCATAAAAATATTGACCGATCTTTATCAAAATCTCCATGTAAAAATTCACATTGTTTGGACCATAATTGCGGCCACTGGAGCGACCAGAAAAAAAATTAAGTATTTGTTCCATTTCTTCCCCTAAATATTAACCGATCAAAACAATAAGGGTCTTCATTGGCCAGAACCCATACTACAAGCAAAATTTCGTGAAGATTGGTCCATAAATGTGGCCTGTATCGTGTTTCAAAATATAATGGACAGACGGACGGACACACATGTCTAGATCGACTCAGCTAGTCGAGATATGATGATCGGTATACTTAAAGATTGGTCTAGGACCAATATTTCGCGGCGATACAAGCTCTTGGGGCTGCACAAAGCTATAATACCCTGACAACATAGTTGTGTAGGGTATAAAAACAAGAGACCCATAATTACGAATGAAATGTGGTCACAATGAGTAATGTAGAGTTGAAGATAAAAACACAGCAAGATTTTGGGGGGTGGAATCCAGAAGAACAAATTTGCCATAGGTCAAGTTTTTAAGTTAGGGGGTAATTATTTTTTATTGTAACTCTAAAATTTATGTAGAGAAATAGTTATATCTTTCTTTGAAGTTATTGCAGGTTATTTTTGAGATATGTCTTCAGCAAAATCGAATGAGGAATATTTTTGGAAAACATATGCTACTTATATCTCGCGTTTTTATGGGCCTTTTCCGTCCTTATTTTCTTAAACCTAAACCTAACCTAAATACCACAAGATTTCTGACTTCCAAAATATGACACTCATCTCAAAATTATTGAACGGAGTCCCCCATAAGAATTTTTCACAACCCCATACCAAGATCTTGGTTTTGTGTCACCGTGTCATTAGGATTTTGTGTTTCTATACAAATGGCCTGGAGTGTCTGCTATTTAATGTTGCATTGTATTTAATATTAATAGCATGAAGGGCCGACATTTAAGCGTGAAACACTCTAGATACGCATTACAAAATATGAAGACAATTTTATAACGTTTTTTTCACAATATGCCTGTATGTATGTTGACAAAATTGTTACTGTTTTTATCGGCATAAATAAAATAAAAAAGTTGTAAAACAATAAAGAGACAGACTGACACCAAGAAGTCAATGACATTTCAAACTCCTTTCCACATACAATCCCAAAGATATGGGCATAGAGTAGTTATCTTTCTGTAAATGCTGGCAGGGTGGTGTATTAAAAACAATACAAGTCTATATGAACAATGTTTATATATAGTGTAATTAAAAAATGAAATGTAGTAAGGAAATTCAATTAATTAATAGGAAATATGTTGCACTCTTAGCGACACTCTTCTGCAACATTTTCAATTTGCGGGATTTTAAATAAACGAAAATACAGTGAAATTGACAATTCGATTTCTAACCACTGTTTACAAAATTCTCCTACTCCCTATCATTCCAAATCATAGTAACTTATCGTTAAAATCGAGATATATATCGCAATTTGCACATGCATTGCTATTACTCCTAGCATGTTTCACGATTAGTTATTCCCATATAATGGAGCCGCTAATTTTCGATATTTTGTATGTTATAGCCGGATTTCCTTATTAAAGTGGCTGTAATTTGCCATTTCTGGTTCTTGGAGGTTAAGATATTTCTATGCATATGTTTAACAATATAGGTTAACTTTTGTCACAGCTCGTATATAAAGGTTCTGCTCCATTTTTTGGTAGTTTTAAGGTTTAGCCTCATTTCCTCACCAAATTTGCTGTAATTTCTAATATTCCGAGTTTTTGGTTTAAACATATCCATCCAGAATATTATACACCGAAAAAAACAACTTTGGACTATGACACAGAAAATTCTTTGTAGGCTTAATTGTTTCTATTTTGAATTTATGTTTTCGTTACACTTACATATAGATTACATGTTCTGCGTCATTAGAAGAACCATATACAATGTTGAACAGTCGGTAGGACTTGTTCTTCGTATCAATTCGTCTTATATATATATATCGAAATAATTTGGAAAATACATATGCGAATTGTGTAACACCAATGCAGAGGTCTGAAATAAAGAAACAATGGAATGCAAAACTAGTCACAATTGAGTGAGTGGAAAGTCGTTTGTGGTTTGCAACAGAAACAGTAGTCAAATAAATAGTTGAAAAAATAACGAACATTAAGTTAGGGGAGAGGCGGAGATCGATGCCAAAACAAAACACAGCCGAACAATGAATGGTGGTTGTGTTTTTTCCTGAGGAATACATTTGTTTTTGTCAAAATAGAGAGAAATTTTTATTTGCATTTTTCCAATGAAGTGGCTGTAATATCGAATAGTGGTATCTGGGAGGGTGAGCAAAATCTTCGATATAGGTGAATGGGCCCAAATAAATGTCAAGGTATTTTGAAGGTTTTAACTGAATTTGCTCATCGAAGTGAGTGTATGTTAATATTCCGGGTTTTTGGTGGAAAGACAAAATATTTTCGTAGAAAATTTGTATATAGGACCTCCACATAAAGATCTTGCAATTTCCCCCCAAAGGGACTGTATTTTGGCAGGTTCTTGAAAGGTGAACAATACATTTGCATAAAGTTTTTGTCATAGCCACTTATAAAGGTTCCGCCTGCTTCCGGTATTTTAGAAGCATTCTCACACCCACGTGAATATAATTTGGCATTACAGATTCCAGATGAATGAACTATTTCTTCCCAAGAAATGTTAAGTTCACTTATTTGGCCCAATGACGAACCCTATTGAAATTGGGAAAATCGGTTCAGATTTAGATATAGCTCCCATATATATTTTCGTCCGATTTAAGGTAAATGGTGTACCAAAGTCCCTTAATATCTTCCGGTTTGCACGAAATTTGGCACAACGTAATGAATTAGGTCTAGAATGATGTGTGTTAAGTTTCCTGAAATCGGTTCAGATTTAGATATAGCTTCTATATCTGACCAAATGAAAAATTTAGTATCGGTTGTAGAATGGCATGTTTATGGATCCAATTTCATTTTACTGGTACTTTGAAAATGCGACTTCTGTTAGGATTCATCTGTTGAATATACCCAAAGTGGTGAAGGGTATCATATAGTCCGCCCGGTCCGACTTTACTACTTTCCTTACTGGTTTTCTGTATGTTGATGGTCCTATCAAAGTTTTATTTGCTGAGTGACTGTAATAACTGGATTCTCGAAGTTAGAATGGATTAGATTAGTCTCGAGTTTAAAATGTAAGATGCATAGCTCCCATTTATAGTTTCATTCGGTTTCATGTAAATGTTACACCAAAGACTCCAGGGTTTTCCGATTAACAGAAAATTTTGGATAGACTTCTGAATTAGGTACAGAATGATGGATGTCAAGTTTGCTTTGGATCCGTACATATGTCAACGTAGATTTCATATATAATTTCCGCTGATTTCATGCAAATAATCTACCAGGCGACGTACCACATTTATATATATACCCAAAGTATTTAGGGTATCACGCAGTCGATCATTTTGATCCTTTTCTTATTGATTTTATAACTCATGTAATTACTTTTAAAATTTAGGTTTATAAAACAATATACCCATAGTTAACAGAATTTATAATTATTTTTTAATTTCTTTTTTTGAAATATAATAACCATTTGGTAGTCCATGATTTATTTTTCATTAAAAAAAATAATAAAAACATAAACAAATGATTTGAACGTAATAAGTATATGTATGTACATAAATATAAGTATATATAAGCTATCTAGAACTTATAATTAATTAATGACAATGGATATTCTTTTGATTCCAAATTTCACAGAGGAGATATAAACGACGATTGCATCTTTTTCAAAAAATGAATTTCTTAAAAGTAAAAATAATAACGGCACAAACAAAAACGAAAAACTTAATCTTTGGCATAAAAACAAATGTTACAGCTAAGAGACTTAGTTTTTTTCTTTTTTTAAATTTTAATACAGTTGAGGTTACAGTTTTACATTTTAATATTAAATGTTAATTATTTAATAAAATTCCTAGAAATATAAGATTGCTACCATGTGGCAGTTGCCAGCACATTAAGGTTGTGTTATTGTTGTGATACATGTTTCAGTACATCTTCGATATGTTATTAAGTCTTTTTGTTTTAAAGTTTCTTGTTTCTTTTTTTAAGTATACATAATTAATATATTTTTTTAATAAAAATACAAAAAATAATACTTTCTTATTGGAATTTTGGAATTGTGGTTTTGAATTGTTCGGCCTCAGCTCAAATAGAATTTAACCTTTAAATGTGGTGTGGCATTGCCAGGTGTATTCTGGCCACTGCCACCATTACTTGTACAATTGCTTCGGGGCAAAAACGGTGTAGATTCATTATTACCTTCCAAACGTCGCAGCAGACGATCCTGATCAGATTCCTTGGGTGTGGTTGGCATATCCCGTTTGGGTGAGTGTATTCCAGCCAAATTTGGTTTCGTACTGATACGATTCAATTTGGTCGGTTGATGATCCTGGAATATCTGCGAATTGGCAAAGACCGCAAGTATCTCCGGTCCCAGCATTGGTACATTTGTTTGTGTTTCTCGGCGATAATCTTCTTCGTGAATTTTGGCATTACTGTGTAAATAATTTATTCAAATAATCGAAATGTTAAAAAGAAATCAATGGTATAAACAAATTAATTAATACGATTGTGATGGTGGTGGAGGTCATGGAAACAAACAAATGTGAAGAAGAAAATCAAATGTGGTGAGTGGATAAATTGAAGTAATAATTAAATTAAGATAACTCATTTTTGTTGCGGTTCGGTGTGTGTACAATTTCCATTATTACCTGAATAGTCCCGATGAATGCCCTCGTCGCAGTGGCTGATCAATAATAATTGAGGGTACTCTGGTCACATTGTTGTTGTCCGCAGGTTGTATGCGTCCCAAGACACTGCCATTCTTTTTGGAGGCAAGATATTCTTCATCTTCGTCGGGATTATAATTGGCTGAAATTGGAAGAAATTAACAAATAATTTTATATTTGAATTAACAATTATATCAAGGGCGATGATTGACGAATGTTTTTTGCAATATATCTTTATGACTCTTATATAAAGTTTTTTTTTGTTTGTTTGGATAGTATTGTTATATTATATGTGTCGATTAGACAGACAAATGCTGTGTCAGAGATGGGAATTTATAATCGATTTAAAATTGCATCAGATATTTTGATTTTGGTGTTTTACAGACTTTGTCTGTGGCAATATTTTCCCTCGTTAAAACCCTTATACCAATTACTTAATGTCGAACTAAATTAAGAGGTGAATATTTTGAAGCGTTTGGAACAATATTTACCCAGTAAGTAGTAAAGTCGGACGGGGCCGACTATATTATACCCTTCACCACTTTGGGTATATTCAACAGATGAATCCTAACATAAGTCGTATTTTTAAAGGACCAGTAAAATGAAATTGGATCAACAAACATGTCATTCTGCAACCTAGTATCAATTTTTCAGTTGGTCAGATATTGAAGCTATATCTAAATCTTAACCGATTTCAGGAAACTTAACACACATCATTCTAGACCTAATTCATTACGCTGTGCCAAATATCGTGGATACGGAAAGATATTAAGGGACTTTGGTACACCATTTAACTTAAATCGGACGAAATTATATATGGGAGCTACATCTAAATTTGAACCGATTTTCAGGAAACTTAACACACATCATTCTATACCTAATTCATTACGCTGTGTCAAATTTCGTGCAAATCGAAAGATATAAATCGGACGAAAATATATATGGGAGCTATATCTAAATCTGAACCGATTTTCAGGAATCTTAACACACATCATTCTAGACCTTATTCATTACGCTGTGCCAAATATCGTGCAAATCGAAAGATATATAGGGACTTTGGTGCATATAAAAATATATGGGAGCTATACGTAAATCTGAACCGATTTTCAGGAAACTTAACTCACATCATTCTAGTCCTGATTCATTATGCTGTGCCAAATTTCGTGCAAATCGAAAGATATGTAGGGACTTTGGTGCACCAAATACATTAATTCGGACGAAAATATGTATGGGAGCTATATCTAAATCTGAAACGATTTTCAGGAAACTTAACACACATCATTCTAGACCTAATTCATTACGCTATGCCAAATTTCGTGCAAATCGAGAGATATATAGGGACTTTGGTGCACCATTTACATTAAATCGGACGAAAATATATTGGGAGCTATATCCAAATCTGAGTCGATTTTTCCCAATTACAGTAGGGTTCGTCCTTGGGCCAAATAAGTGACCTATGCCAAATTTCATCCAAATCGGATCATAAATGCGACCTGTACTTTGTTCACAAAAATACATGGACGGACGGACATGCGTAAATAGACTCAGAAAATGATTCTATGCATATTCTCAAAAGGAACCATGTGTCTATCTCGTTTCCTTTTGCCTGTTACAAACATATGCACAAAGAAAAATACCCTGTACCACAGTGTGGTGAAGGGTATAAAAACTAAAATACTTCCCATTCTAAAATACTTCAAGTGCAAAATGTAGACTGCCTTATGACAACTATTACTCATACGACATATATAACAACATAAATAAAAAAATTCCTCCAGCCAAAGGGTATTTCAAATGTTCCCTCGAATATTCTATATCAATCAACTGAATGACATTGCCAGTCATTACTTTTTTATTTTATTGCCATTCACACTATGTTGAGATAAGATGGCAAATTTCAACAATTTTAAATTCCTTATTTTATTATATTGGAAACAATATATCCCCGCATAGTGTTAAAAATGTCTATATTGTTTCATGTTATATATCTTACGAGATAAGATTCGCATTTCAATATGGTAAAATTCGCATTTCAAAATAATATTGAATGTTTTGCATATAAATTATCTACTACCACCATAGGGGCATCGAATGAATAATTACAGCTTTCTTCATTTTAATGCGTAATACCACCATATTGCGATAACAATGATATATCATAGCTAGGAAATTTTACAATGTGTCTCATTGTTTTCTTCTTTTGGTGTTGTGTTTTTTATACACTGCAATCAATATATGATTAATGTGGGGAATAATGTAATGTTATCGTAAATATGTACGATGAGAAGTCAATGAAATGCAATAAAAATAACATTACTACGCATACAGATCGATGTGATCATGTTTCGTAAAATTGTCTATCGTTTATATACAATTTTATTCTGAGACTATAAAAAATAATTCTTTATTGGAGGCAACAGATTTTGATTTACCTATGTCTACTTGTCCTATTACAATCATGTTTAAGTTTAACACACATAGATAAGATTCTGAAATACGTCAAAATATTGTTTTTATATTTTTATACTCCCAATTAGCAGTACCTTCCGATTTGACGTACATCGAAGACTTTATTATTATAGTTTACATCGCACTGTGGTACAGTTAATAGCAAGTTTGTACTATTGGATGAGATATTTAGAAGAACACAAATGGCCCATAAATATGTGTGTCGATTTATGTATATCTGATCCACTATACATTTAAATTTATAAACGAAGGCATATCCCATTTGTAGTCCAGTATAAAACAAATTCGACGACGGCATGAGGCTGATTGACTTCGCGGCGGCAAAAACATGGTTGGTAGCAGCACCAGACTCAACCATCTCGATATACGCAAGGCCATCTGGCTTTTCCCGATCATCAAATAATTTATACGGAAGGCATTCATCAAGTGTTTTAGACGTTCGATCAATTCGAGAAGCAAATATCTATTCGGGCCATTACCGTGTAGCAGCCAAGGTTCGCACTCGACAAAATGTGGCAGCAAAGGTGCTACCTAACCCAACACGGAAACTCGACTTCGAAAAGCTGCAAACACATCAGATAACATAGTTCTACACATCCATCCATAACCCGAGAGAGGCATGCGCAAAGATTGGAACTTGAGTATTCTACTATCTAAACAAAACAAATGACATCCGTTTTGAGCTTCGA